AAAAAATAATATATATATATATATATATATATATTTTTTTCATCTACAATTAAAATAAAAAAAGAAATGAAAGCGGGACTTCGATAAAGAAGACAGCAGTAGTAGCGGAATGAATAATATGTGGTGCGAAATCGATGTGATTTTTGCAAGTATAAGATCATCCATGCACTTCGCGTGCGTGCATATGCGTATACTCACCCGACGTGTCCGTCCCGCCTTCCGGGCTCCCGCTGGAATACATGGTCGCCAGTTTGCCGTCGAGGATAAATCTAAACCATCCGTTACTTCCATTTGATAGCTCCAAAGCCGCCGCGTCCGACCAGATGTACAAACAATCACGTCCCCTGCATATGCACCAGTCTCTCCAGTGATATGCTCTTCCTATTAGTAATTCCTTCGCGTCTTCCATTCTTTGTTCCTCTCCCGTTTGATTTAATTCGGTTTCTGGTTCGGATGTGGTTTCTTGTGGTCCAGCCAAAGCGGCAACTTTCGAAAATACTCCCAAACGCGCAAAATGTTCTAAGAATTCATCTTTGCCTTTAATCATCAGATCCTGTATCATTTGTAGAACGACCAAATGACCATCCTCATCTTCCTGTTGACATTAAAACACACAAGCTTTTAATATTTAAACAGAAGACATTGACCAAGACAAAAAAAATTAAACATCTTTTTCTTTCTAAAGATATTATGCAAACATGTAACATTATTTAATACAAATAAACACAGTTACATTTTAAAACTTAATAAAAGGTAACTTAAATCGCTTACCTCATTATCTAAAACATTGGCGATTACTTCTACAAGCATAGCTCCACATCCTCCCGTTTTATCAGATCCACAAGTTTCTATAAGTAATTCTGGCTGAATGTAATGCACCATTTTTCTAATCAAGCTTAAACTCGCTTTTCTAACGCTCGGTAACATGGTTGACTGAAAGGTTGCACAAAACACCGGTAGTAATCTTTTGAGATAAACAGGCGCCATTTCAGGATCTCCCTTAGGTTCTGTAAATTCTTCCGCTTCGGTTTCAAGTTTCCTATGTTCTTGATTCGGTGGTAACATCCATTCTCCGGGCGATTGCAAAATGGCCGCAACCTCTCTATGCCCTTCGTCGACGCGCTCTCTGGCTTTATCCAGAGGCGTTTTACCGTCCTCGTCCCGCAGATCAGGATTTGCACCATGTCTAAGCAAGACTTTGGCAATGGCGGGTCTTCCAAAGCAAGCCGCATAATGTAGACTGGACGATCGTTGACCTTTATTAACATCCGCTCCTCTATCGCATAGAAATTCGACCATCTCTTGCGTGCCGAATGCTGAGGCCCAATTAAGCAGCGTTTGCCCAACATCATCCATAAAGTTAACTTCAATCCCACCTGAATCGATCGCCTCTATTAACGCATCCGTATCTTTCGAGCGTATGCAATCGATTAATTGTCTATGCGATTTCTCTCCAGCGCTGTCCAGACGTCTCAGTCTTGGTAACAAGGGACCAGACGAACCACCGGTAGTGCTACGACCTAACGCCGATCTTCCTTCGAACAGTAAGACTAATAGAAGGTCGACCAGTCTCATGGAATCAAGAGCGCATCGCTCGTCTCCTTTTAGTGCCTTTTCTATCGCATCTGGTAACTCCGAACGTAAGAGATCGTGCGTAATCGACGGAGATCCTCTGCAAAGTGTCGATAAAAGACTAATTATGGTCGAAACTGAAGCGCAGGATTTTGGTTCTGGAGCTGGCATCGTATTGGCGGTATTGGACGGTGGAGGCGTTTTGGGATTGCTGCATGTTGCTGTAGTAGATGTACTAGGTCCTGCTGCATTTGACAACCTAAAAAATGATAAGCGTAAAAAATATGACGGTATGATGACTATCGATTCTGTGTGTGTGCGTATGTGCGCGCACGCGCATGTATGTGTGTGTGATGTATACCTATATAATAGTTCAGAAACTAATCCATTCGACGCTAATGGCGCAGGATCAGTTCCCCTTCGTGAAAACCTATCCGCCAGCGATGCGAAGCAACGAAGTGCCCCATCCGCAACATGCGCATCTTCGTGTCTGAGTAACACCGAAAGAGCCTCGACGCAATCGGGTAAAGCCTTATCTTGGGGTTCAACTTTGCCGCATAATCGAGTAACGACTGCCATAGCTGAGTGTAATGTATCCCGATGCACACGTGCTCCGTGCTCACGGATAAAGCACAACGCACAAGGGAGACCACCAGCTTCGAACACAGCACCTGCTTCTCTCGCGCATACGAGCTCTAATACCTGATTCAGTAACAGTAACATGAACATTCTGTAATTCGCATAAAATTAACTTCGCATTTCGCACCTTTATACATTGCTCTGCCAAGTCTCGACTGGCTCTGGAACCCAGACCAGCGCCAGAAAGACGACTGCAAATCGCTTTCACAGCACCTTCCATAGCAACCACTCTGCGTGTACATTCTGCAGAAACATCCAAGTAATATGTGATAGCACGAGCAGTCACTTCCAGCACACTGTCCGGTACCATTTCGTCCAAAAAGATTCTGCAAAGTGCTGGAAGAAATGTGCGCGGAGGGCAACTACGGAACATATGCAAAATGTGTTTATTAAATGTGTTATTTCTCAATGCTGTAAGTCACAAAGTTATATGCAATTATTTTAGTAAATACCATTCAAAGCAGCGGTCAACATTATCAGACATAAGTAACAGCATACATAATTGCTCTAATGCAATTAATTGCATGTCTCTTTCGTCTCCTTGTCCCATACTGAGCCATTCCAATAAAGTTTCCGGATCGACATCCGCCATCTTTAAAAAGAAAATAAAATACTTTTATATCTGAAGCAATGTTAAACATTGACAATAATCAGAATAAAAATTGTATCTATAATTATTTTATAGATACAATTTTCATATATAAATAATAAAATTCTTATATATTTGTACAAATTACTATAAGAATTTGTACAAAAATATAAGGATATATAAGAACTCATTATTTTTACCTTATTTTTTAAATAGTACTCCCTGGATTAATTTTATTTTGATGCTCTGAAAGTTATATAGAAAACGTTATATTGTATAAATTAATACATGTCTAAAAAAAAATCACTGTTAAATGTTAGATGTTAACATCTGATACATTGAATCATAACGTAAATCGTAATTTATAAATTTATAAATCCAAACTATAATTGTCTCCATAAATCCTGGACATTATTATATTGATAATCTGTTGCTCGCTTTCAAAAATTACTGCTTCCAGTGAGTCATATGCAAAGTTAATTACATCGACAAAATCAGTGATTTCGATCAAATAAAGATACATGATTATGAATCCTTAATATTTGCACATAACAGTTGTTGCAGCTTAATATAGTAATAAAGGTTAAAAAAAACTCATGAAAAGAACAATGAGATATGATGACACAATTGGAGAAATCGTACCTAACCTTTATTGTGTCCTTCAATTTCAAATTGTTCGTTTTAAAGGAATAAACAAGGAATTTACAGAGTGGTCAAAATAATAACATGTATCTTCGAATACATGTATCCACATACCTACGTTGAAACGTACCGTTGTGCATACAGCATTCCATTCTTCGTAATAGGTCAACTCGCCATCATTTTGCAGACGTGTCGTTTATTAGCTCGAAAAAGGACAGACACAGACCGTCTGTATATTCCAATGCACTCTGTGTTTCGCGTTAACGGATCGATTTAATAAAACGCAATACAAGTAATTTTTTTCTTTATATATCGTCGTACGCATTAATCACGTATACTTTTCGCCATTTACGCGTGACGTTTAATTTCAACGCATAGACTAGAATAGATTGGAATCACGCAACTCGCCAAGCTCAGTGAATGACAAGCCAAATTTTCATATAAAGCAGGAGAGAGTTACGGTGCATTCACATTGTGTATGTCCCTATATATCCAATAGGAGAATTTAAAATCTAGAAACTTTATAGATTAAAAGTTCATCTGAATTTTAGTAATAGTAAAGTCAATAGTAAATTTTAGTATCATATGTTGTAATTCTTAGATTTAAATACAGTCGCTAGATGGCAATTGTCATTGAACTGTCAACAGTTTTCAATCGACCACAAAACAATGGACGTCACTCAACATAGAAAAAGTAAAGTATTTTATAATTATTGAGCATTTAATTAAAAAAAAGGTTTATTGCACTACATAGAAAATAAGTTAAAGCAATTTGATGTTTCTAGAATAAAAAATATATATTTATTTATATAAATATGCACATATATTATTTAACTTTGTTCTTTGACGGAAAGTATGTCAACAATTTCAATGTAATACTTTCCAAATAAATTAAGTGTATTTAATAATATAATCTATTGATTGGTAATACAATATACTGAAAGTCGATATTCAAAAATCAAAATTAATTTCTTACTGCAAAAGTATTATTAGAAAGAATTATAAATTCTTTGTAAAAACCTTTTGCACGAAAAATATTACGTATGTAAATTTTTTTTCTATTTAAATATATAATTTTTATTGAGATGTTTTGTCATTATCACATTCATAAAATATTTATTATTCGGGAATTATTTGTTATTTCTTATGAAAGAATCAAAGATTTGCAGGAATAGAATAACAAAGCTTTGCACGAAACTGATTATCATTAAATAATAACATATATTTTAAACAAAAATTTGTAAAACAAGTATTCATGGAATAACAATCCGAATAGCTACAAAAAATTTTAAGAATATAAATCTGTAATTAATTGAGATTAATTGAAATTAAATATACTTGAGATCTGTAATTAATTAGTTAGATTCTCAATTACAGCTTGTAAATAATTTACGATTATGAATATCAGTCTAAATTACTTCAAGAATTTCAAGAATATTTTTAAGAAGTAATGAGATAATGGCAAAATATCTTATTTGTATATTTAATTATTATATGAGGTATGATTATTTTATCACAATCTTGTCATGTAAATGTTTCTCATCATCCAGTATTCTTGATAATTATCTAAAAAAAATGGACTTATAGACTTCTTTTTTACTGGAAAAGAAATCCACTATACATTTCATTATATGGCACATAAGAAAGTAGAATATAGAGAAATTTTTTCGTGATAGAAATTTACCAAATAATAATTAAACTAGGGTGACTGAATCCGAGCAAAGAACGAGTTCAAAGAAAGAAGTCCAAATGAGAAATAAATACTATACCAGGAACCAAGAATTAATTCCAAACGGTTGTAAAAACGCAAAAATAATGGGACTGTTGATCTGAAGCGAATGGAAGAAAAAAATATGTAAGTAATTTCTACTTAAATCATAACACAAGCTTTGACATAAGACCAACAAAATTTACATAATATCGATGAGTCCGAATTGCGAATAAAAATGTACGTCAGCAACTATACTATAAATTAAATCGATAACAAAACAGTTTGGATATAAAAGTATAGTCTTAAATAAAAAAAAATTATTTGTTCTGAAGTCTAGTAATTTTGAAAGAATTTACATATTCGCCTTTTAGGATTTTTGTTTTGGTCATCGATATTATTTTGCTAGTAAATAAGAAATAACCAAATCAAAAAGAGAATCCAAACAAAAAATAGAAATAATCGCAAAAAATGCAATGACACTCATAGCAACAAATCTGTCTGTTTAACAATGTACATTGTTACATTAGATTTTTTGCAATATAATACTAGAACTTGGAGAAACTTAAGAATATAAATAATCTATCTAAATTATTATACGAGGGTGAGTCAAAAAGTAAATTATTACTATATATTATTATAATTTAAAGAAATCTTTTATTACATAGAACTGAAAATATTGTTTTAAAGGATTTTTTAAATCCACAATATCTTCCTTGCTTTTTGACTTTTCCTCACGTATTAGTTATTAATTTGTTAGTATTTCTTTGACAATTATAATTTTACACATTTCAAATGTAAACTGATACTATAAACAGTATCAAAATTAATCGCCTATTATTTAATTTCTTACGTGATTATAAGCCTAAGTTGGAAACTTTTACATCAAGTTCAATATGATAAATATTGGACAAGTTGATGAAATAATTGAATTGACATTGAAAAAAAATTTGTCGTATGCACTAATTATCTAATCATATCACGTACCGACTGAGAGAGATTTTTTATATACAAAAAAGAAAAATACAAGGAAAAATAGTGTAAGAAAAGAAAAGATATTAACTGTATTAAATAAAAGTTGATATCTATATAATTAAAGCAAAAAACATAAAAATTATGTCGATTTTCATCTTTATGAGAATTGAAGCCAGCATAATTGTTATGATATATTCCAAAATTTGCGTTAATTATATCGACGTATAATTAAACACATTTAGATTTGTCAATTACAGCCCACAAATGAGAAAATCGCACGAGTAGTGGAACAAAAAAAAACGTTCCAAATACGTCAAAAATTTGTAGAATAGCAATAATCAAAATTGTATAGTCTTACTACTTACTTTTAAATTATATATATATATATCTATCGAATATTTAATTTAAATGCTTCTTGGAGAGTTCATGTTTGACTAGAAATAGTAACTTTCGTTGCATAGCATATGCTTATGCATTGTTTAAGCTCTTGCTCGTTTATCCTTTCTTAATTCATAATAATTTACATAACATATGTTACATAACATATGTTCTTCATCAAAATGTCGTCAGTTTTCGCATTTTACACGAATGTTTCAATCTACTAATGTGCAGAAAGAAAGACACCTTGTCATCGCATTGATATCCGCACATATTGCACGTGTAGGGATTAACAGAGTCGTGATAGCCCATGTGCACGATGTACATCGTCGAATTTTTAAAGATGATCCCGCAGTGACGACAGATAGATACGCCGTCTACTGAATTCTTTTTATCCATCAATTCCTCGATTTCTTTCTTTCCTGCAAAATACATACCGCCATCCTTCAGAAACTCTACGAACTTTGCAAAAAAGTCGGAAAAACACATTTCGTTCTGCTCTGAGTCTTCATCCGTGTCATCGTTCTGTTCGACCATGCGACGTTCCAACTTCATCGCTCTACCCTTGCGCTTATTAGCGCGAGTAGCACTCGGTGAGCTCGTAACTGATAACTGAGGTTGATCAGTTCTCTTCATCACCTCGGGAATACGGAGATCCAGCGGCCTAAAATCGGGCTCTTGAAATTCTTGAGGCTCTTGCACTGGCAATTCCAAGATTTTATCAGCAGCCTGCGCATTATTGAAAGCATCAAATCTTTTGATGCCGAAACGAGTTATAACTTTCGGAAGGATGACCTCGGCATTCATCGACGTAACCGTTGATCGCGCACTGTCCATCTTTTGCGTATCCATCTTTCGCATATTCTCGTGATATGTCGCGTCTTCGTGAAGCACAAGAGGACTCGGTAGATTAAACGCGGCCATCAGATCGCTGTAAGGAGGAGAATGAAACGTCGCGGTGGATTCGATTCTAGCCGTGTCACTCTCGTCGATCTTATTCGCATTGTTCATTCCATTTGTCGTCGTCACAGTGTAGGCAGGCATATTATGAGCAACTGATGATGGATGCTGTACACCTTGCGAATTTATCGTTGGACTCAACTGATTGTTTTTGGTAACGTTTTGATTTGTTTCGTCTGTCATTAGAAGCTTGAAAACGGGCGAGTTTGGCTCGCTGATAATGTCTTCATTTACTTGGTCTTGATTGTCAAAAACTGATGGCTCTTGCATGCCGTCCACGTAGTTATTCAGTTTGTCTGGCGATAAAATCTTGAAAAATGGGTTTCGCTTTGGTCCGCGTTTGGTGCCGTACACGTCGATGACGTACGAAGGATTCGGCGTGCCATCAGGATTCAGCACCGCCGCCGGTCGATGCTCCTTTTTCCGCAGATGCTTCTTCAGAGCATTGCAGAATTTGGTTTTGTACATGCAGTCCGCGCAATTGTAGGGATAGATGTCCGAGTGTTTCTTCATGTGGCTGGTCAGCATCGATTTGCTGACACACGAATATGTACATTTGTCGCACTCGAACGGCTTGGAGCCCTCGTGCACGCTGCGCCAGTGGTGGGTCATATGGTGCTTATACTTAGTAACAAATTCACATTGGGTACAAGTAAAGCCGGAGATGTGCTGGCGCATATGCATCCAGTATTCGCTCTTCGTTCTGTACACAAATCCGCACATTTTGCAGTTTTTAGCTCCTTCCCGGAAACCCTTGTTTTGTTTTTTCGGACTGTCATGCAGATTCACCTGAGGAATACTAAGATCGGAGTTGTAGATTTCCTCTGTCATATTCTCAACTTGTTCCATTGATGTGGGAGAAGTGAGATTCCTTTTGAAAGAGCCTGATGCGTTAATGAGAGCTTGCCATTTGTTGATTTTGTTAAAGGTCGGTATAGACAAACAGAGCTTTCGATGCTCGATGAATTGCGATCTAAAAACACAATTTCGAGCGTTTATCCACAAATTTGGCTGAAGTCGATATAGCAGATCTTTTTATCAAATGTACTCTATCTAATATGCATTAGTGCATATTAAAAACTATCATGTACAAATTTATCAGAAAATAGTAAATATGTCTATATATTATTTGTTATTAAAAGTTTATGATGTAACGTACTTGTTCCTCGAGGTAAAGCCACAGCTACAGTACAGTAAAGGAAGAAAGTCTTCGTCGGGTGGTTTCATGGTGTTGGAGATTGTGGCTGTGATTGATTGATCCGTTTGAAGTTCGTTCATAATATTCTATTGCTACATAAATTTCTGCCCAGTAAATTTGAGTGGATGAGTTGTTTTATTTAGAAGACAAACTTTCTTCGAAAATCAATGCTCACCCCAGGTTGGTATAGCAATGTAGGAAGAAAAGCTAAAATTAAAGAAATTATTTTTCCATCGGTTCCTCTTTCTGTTGAGATTTTATTTCTATATTTTTATATAAATTTTTTTATAATTAGTCATACGCTTAGTACACGCTTACTTTTCGAAAGAAAGTTTGTAATATTTGAAGTTTTTATATCTTTTCCATTATCTTGTAGTGCATAATTATAACAGTGATAATTATGAAAGCGAATTATCTAATGATACACACGTGGAGAAAAACGAAAATAATATCGTATGTACTATTATAATTATTTAAATATAACAAAGTAAAGTTATATTCTTTTAAAGCAAGAAAAAAATTATTTTGCTATCATATTTTAAAAATTAAAAAATTAAAATTAAAGATCTGATAATGTTTTTATACAATATTATGAAATATATATATATATCTTGAAAATGTAGAAATAATTTCTGACATTATTATTGTATTTTAAAATTTTTACATTATGTTGAACATACGTTAATGTGAATATAATTATTCGTAATAATCAAACTTGATTTTACATTTTTGGTATATTTTATTTATTGTTTAATATTTAAATAAGAGAGAAAAAGAAAATTCTTACAAGTGTATGATATTCATTGAACAATGTAAAAGTAAATAACAAATGATTCACACACAAAAACGAAGGAAGCAATATTCCACTCTTAAGCCTTAAAAGCTCGATACGCTATGACTCCCATTGTGCTCGCACCATTTTGTTACTCGCAAAGGGGAAGGGTCCAGGGAATAAGAAAGATAAAGTACGCGATGCTGCGGTGATAGGAAGAGAAAAGGGGAGGGGGGTTGCATGATTACTCACCACGATTCTATCACCCCAAGTGAGCGTGGTTGTCGAATGGCGCGGATGTCATTGCTCCTCAACGATGGTTTCTTACTGATTCGGTGTATGTACCATTTTTCGTATTCCAGTTTCCATACATGCTGCCACAATCTTGTAAATGTAGAGTCGAGAATTAAAAAGTTAAATAAAGTGGCAGTATACGAGACAGTACGAAACGAAACAAAAAGTAAACACATTTCAGTATTTAATCAAAAACAAATAACAAATTGTTATGATATAAAAAGTTACAATTAGGTATTTTAATTAATATGGATCAGAACAGTTATTAATGAACACATAATTATCGTTTACTATGAATGAAGAACTAATAAAATTAAGAACTAAGAACTCTTAGAATATATATAATATCAGAAATAAAAATAGAGAGTCTGTGTGATATAAAGATATATAAGTTTATTTCGCAATTAAACATGCAAGATTGATTTTAAAGCGCAATGAATTTAGATAATATATAAGTAAATATTTGTTTAATGTAATTGTAATGTAGTATTCTGCAAATTTCTTATTTTTGCTGATGACAGCGCCTGAAATTCTTCCGCATGTGGCATGTCAATAACTTTCACCAGAATCTGCGTGAACATTTTATAAATTTGTAAATATGAATATTTTTGACGATGACAGATGAAAGAATGACTCAAGGGAAAAATGACAAACGAAAAAATGAAAAGGGTTCAGTTGTGATTGAAATTTTTGAGTGACACAAAGGCACAGAACAGAGGGATACCTGTCATGTAAGTTGCGCCCAAGGTGGATAGTTTAACATTTCGCCAAGTTAAACTTAACAAAATGTTTGCAATATGTCAAATATGTTTGTTAGAGTTCTCTTGTTTAGAGATGTTCCAGAATGTTTGCAGTAAATTTTGTGAACGAAGACGGTTTGATTTTAAAATCAAATAATGTTATTTAAGAAACAATGATTATAAAATCATTGTTCCATCTATAGAATTGTCCATTATTGTTGCGCTGCAAGTAGGTATTATAATTATACCTGAAACAAAATAAGTTTAGAATAAAAAAATTACATTTAAGGATTAATATTATAAAAATTATTTTATGACAATTATCTTATATCAATAATTTTTATGTTAACAAAAGTATTAAAAAATATTGGAATAAATTGCAATTATATAAGAAATAATTCAGTTCCATCTTTTTCTTTGTATTATTTATTTCTTTTAGTTTATTTTTATTCTGTTAATTGGATTATAATTAATTCAACTACGTAAAACAATAACTTTAATATGCTCTTTAATTTTAATATTCTCTATAATTCTCCATCAAAAACAAGAAACTTTAATTTTTAACAGTCGATTTTTAAAGTCAATCTTCGATCGTTACACAACTGCATCATTAATCATAAAAACTCCATGACACAATTTCTTTCTTTCTATGGCAGCTCTTTTTTTACTTTTTACATAAAAAGTATTTTTACACGATTAAATTACTAAAAACAACAAATTCTTAGACGGACTCTCTTTGGCAAAACCGCAAATTTAATAATGAAATCAATAATTGGATTTTACGTATTATCAAATAATTGTCTTTTGGCAGAGAGAATTATGATTTTTATTTAAATTACATTAATACAATTTAATACAATTTATTATTTTTAATAATAAAAATAATGAAAATAAATACATAAAGTAAAAAAAAGAACTTTAAAATATTGGTATGGTTTTTGCGAGGATGAATCGGAGTCCGTGAGTTATATTCTATTTCTATGATCGATTGTGTTTAGTTGATAAATATAATTTTTTATCAAGAAATAGATGTAATTTTATTTATAAAAACAGATAGATATTTGAGCTGTATGAAAAATAAATTCTTGAAATTTATAGCCTATAAAAATTGATAAACAGTCTTCTCGAAAGATTTTACATTAATTCTTCATCGTGATATCGCGATTGCCGTATTCTGACATCGAAAATTTTGAATGAACAGCACTATCTGCTGGTGAAGGTCGAATCGACGTAGTATTTCGAAATTCCAAGCGAGACATACGTCAAGATCATAACAATAAATAGAAAAACGTACGGCAAAGGAACGATATACGCTTGAATTTTCGAACGGCAGACGGTCCGGGATAGAACAGATAACGCGGCGGGAAACGAAGAAGAATCGCCGGGAAATCAAATTTATTAATCTAATGTAGAGTTTGCAAACGGAAAATCGATACATTGATAATATTAGAACATAACTTTAATTAGTATAAAAATAAAGGAGATATAAACGTCCGAAACGAGAGAAGCAAAGGTCAATCCACGCTAAATCAAAGCACAAATGTTGATACGCAATGTACATTTATCGTGAATTCTACACAGACACGGGATGTTTCGATCTATCTTGAGATCATTCCCAATCACTACGTATTGTGATATAAGCAATATATGTGCATGTGTGAATTTCCTTATTTATATTTGTTATTTTCTGAAAAGATCTTATCGCTAGATGGATATTAAAAATATAATTTTAAGATACATCCAAATGTTCCGTTCAAAATTTATACATTTATATGGCTAATAAATTCACGTACTATATCAAAGTTTATACGCAAAAATGTGCTTTATATTGAATGATAAGAATTAAGTGTATCAGTGAATCAGTAAACTGAGCGACGAAAAATAGCGGTCTTTATATAACTTCTGTTGAATAATGCGAGGTAAAAGGATTTATGATAAATAGAAAAAGAAATGAAAGAGAAAGAAAAAAAGAAAGGACTGGAGGAAAACAGAGACAAAAATATAAAAGGTGAGCTTTCTCGCAGCTTCTTTCTATAGAAATTAGAATTTTGGCAATCGCTACCCTTTATTGATTACGTGATTGCCCGCTTCTTACTCGCTTTCGGCACGCTCTCGTCCAAGTAGAAGATTGCGAGAAATCAAATATATATCTTAATTTTACGATTCTATTAATAGTAAAATTAATTGTAAAAAATTTCATTTAAAAAAAGACTGAGAATTTAGATCGTAAGAAGTGTTTCTGCACATTTTTATGGATGATTTGCAAAGCTATTAAAATTGTTATAAATTATGAGCTATCTGTATTCTACTCGCTTATATTTTAGCGCGATTTAGAAGCTATACTTTAGAATAATTATCTTATTATCAAATCAAAAGATGGAATGGAATTTTTGTCTCCTTCTTTTAATTCTTTCTATCAAATTCCTATGGAGTTATCATAAATTGAGCACTTATCGGTAGCTAAACAAGCTGTTTCAATACTCGACGGTCAAAATAGCGTATATCGAAGAAAGTTTGAAGAAAAAATTCAAAAGCACAGTCAAGTTACAAACACAGCTTGGAAAACAAAATTCCTTATTCCCGTTCTTATAGGCAGTTATTTCAAATTTGTGAAGAATACTGTTTTCTCGTCTTTTGAGTGTTTTAGAATTTCTTACGGAAATGGTTCCGTGATAATATTCAATAAAATTTATGGTTAACTTGATCAGTCGATTCATGCGATTAGGACAAGTATTAACTGCGAGCTTCTTGAATATAATTTTAGAAATAATTAAACAGATCTATAATGAACAACTGAATGATTATAGCTGTGAGAGGTTATAGCTGTGAGAGCTATATATAGATGTTAGAGCGGTTTCTAGTTAAATTCGATGATTAAATTTCAATCAGAATAAAATAATAGGAACTGTATAGCTCTCAAACTCTACTTTATAGCTTATTCAATTAATTAATGATAAAGTTACCTGCAGATTGTATCTTCTTGTCTCCCAATCTTCGGCAAAGCTTCGTTGCTCGGCAACTTTTATGAAGATTCTCTCTTCCATATATAATTTGTACACATCTCAATTTCTGATTTCGTCGTTCTACAACTTCTATGAAGGTTTTATCTTCCATAGAATATTTAAGAGTCCTGAAAGCACGTAAAACAATCAGAAAAGCACCAAAAGACCACTCAGCACTGTTAAAATCGCGATGCGTTATCGTGTTATTCATTACGTATTGCTCTTACACGTGCTCTAATATGAAAATTCGCGCTCCGAACTGAATGAACAGCAGGGGAGCTGAGAATGAACTGACAGTATATTCTAAGTCCCAAAGCGAAATAGCCGCTTATTTCTGGGTCTTTTCGAAGGGGCAGTTATCTTCCCTCTCTAGTACGTCTGCCCAATCAAAATGGTTAGTCGGATATATAGATTTGGCAGACGTTCTCCCCACGCCCTTTCTTCTCCCTCTCTTTATTTCTCTCTTTTTCTTTGTCATTCTTTCTCTCTCTTCTTTCTTTCTCTCTCTCTCTCTCTCTCTCTCTCTCTCTCTCTCTTTTGCGACCGATCTCTACGTGAGTAACTTTTACTAAAGAGTTACGCATTACTGTTTTTGTTACTGTAAACGGCCCGTTACTGCAACCCTGTTATATTTTGGTAGAAGTTATGAGGATCGCAGTACATCCGTTAGCTGAATACGCATCAACCCTTTCGCTATGTGTAAGAAATATATCCGTTCCGGTTTCTCCACCATCTTCATGTTCCAGACCGAATTTTAAGATTTACGTTGTTATTAGGTATGATGAAATCTTGGTAGCATCACAATGGAAGATAAAATAGAAATTCGGAATTTAAAAATTAATTATGATATGGAATTTATTTTTTGCAAATATTAATTGATGCCAAAAATTCGCATTTGTCGAGTATGTAATGTTAAAACCAAAGTTGCAAAATTAAATTAGATTTTATTTGTCAAAATAGTTATGGCTTCAATTTTTTCCATGTAAAACCAAGTTTTTTTTATTTTATTGAAAAAATTCTATTTTTTTTAAATGAAAAGTAATAGCTTTATTTAAAATAAATTTTTATAGAAAAATAACAAATCTCTTAGTATCTAATGGAATACATTCATTTATATCGCGTGATAAGGAATCGATTTTATAATCTCTTTCAATTTTTTCTGGCTTTGAAACTGCAGTAAATAAATGAATAAAAACCTTGAGTGTCAGATTTCTTTCTTTTTTTTTTTGTCAAAACTTCTGGATTTTATTTTATAAATTCTGTAAAAATTTGCTTCTCTTTATTAATTCAAAATTTAGCATTAAAAAAAAAACTAAACAATATTTTTAAAGCAATTTGATAGATTAAATTTTAATATTTGTAATATTTTATCACTTTTTTACGATTTTTACATAGAATATAACGCATAATTAGGATAGCATGATCGCATGATAAGGAGCGATACTGTAATAAATCTCACCTTTTTGCATTTTTTGTTACTTTCAGAATCACAAGATGAGGAAACTAAAGCGATTTTTTTTACTATTGTTCTTATTGAAAGATTGTATTGCAGAGAAAGTTGAAAAATGTGACCTGTTTAAAAAGATTTATAGTCAGTTTGGAATTTTTTTAAGAGTTCTATATCAATAGACTAAATTTTTTACTTATATTAATCACTGTCTAATAGAAATTGAGTCCTTAAGTCCTAATTCGCAAAAATTGGCGTTACACAATCAGCTTTTGACGCAAATAAAGAGCAAGGACAAGTAAACTTCAGACAATCCATCAAACTGTCTTATATTGAAACTTCTTTTCTTATGTGAATCCGAAGCTGCATTTTGAGTCTCAATATAGATTTTTCTCATTTTTTAAGTATGTTTTGTAATGATAATGATTAATGAAAAATGTCATGAATTTAAATGTTTTATTAAAAAATAATTATTATTATTAAAAAAAATAACGTATTATTTAATAATTTATAATTCAATACTTATTTAAAAAAACCGCTCATTAAAGAGATGCATTAATCTTTTTTTTTCTATATTTCGGAAAAAGAGTCAGAGCATTACATACTTAATAAAATTTTTTTGTGATACTGTTATAAAACTGTATCTAAGAAATTTTGCTTTATTTTAACGTTTTTTAAGCTACAAATAATTTTTAGTCTTACATTTTGATGAGATATGTATTTAATGCGCACTTTCATAAAAATTAAATTAATAAATATTTATTTTTATCTATTTAGATGCTTATTTTTTTTACATTACATTTTTACAGTGCGAATTCTTAAGGAGAATTAAATTTTTGATGAAATACATATCTTGAAATGTTTAAAAAATGACATCTGGTGCATTTTACTAAAATTTATGCATATAACATATACTGTTACAGATTTTTTGCAAGAGAAGGAAGCAAAAAATATATTACCCTTTGTCAAAAGCAAACCGTTGCAGAAGTTTTAGGACAACATACCTCCGTTGATTTTTTCTCTTTACTTCTCTTTTCTGAATTTTGGTTCACCCGTTGGACATATACTTATACTAATATATCTAAAATTGGTGCCGTTTAACACTCATTTAACTTTCTTCTTCGAAAATTGTTTTCACTACTCTTGGAAAATGCGTCTCATATTTCGTGCTCGAGATATGCGTGCTCGGGTGTTCGGGTGCGCGCGATTGCCGCTTTCTTCGTCACAGAGACAGAAGCAATACGGTGTAACGTATTTATGCCTTTTCTATGTTCTAGCATAGAAAAATATTTTCCCGCAAAACTTGAATCTCGTACGAGGGTGTAGAAGGGGTTAGCAGCAGCTGTTTAAACCACGTTTCACCCCAACTAAACTCGTTCAGGTACAAAAACGAATAATATATATGATGAATGGATGATTTTCCTGAAACTCTTTTACTTCGAATTTCTCAATTCTAAACGCATAACTTTTTATATTGACAAAATATAATGATATAAGGTGCTTAAAAAAAAAAAAAACGATTCAATCGCGATTTAATCAAACTCGCGAATGTAAATTGATGTACATTTATATACAGATTTAAGAAAGAATTTTGCAACTAGGCTTACAAAATACTTTCATAAAAATAATGAGATGTAAAAAGATCTAAAAGACAAGAGATGAGCGAATAAAGAGAGATGGAAAAAAAAAACAAAACGTGCCTAAGACGATTCATTATTGCGAGGGAATAATATAAGAGCAACACAATAAAAATTGTTCGAATAATTTTCTATTTTCTTTGAAAATAACTATTTTCTATTTTCTTTGAAAACACATTTAATTCTCTCATTAAAGAAAGATATTTTAACTGATATAATTTTTACTTGTTCTACTAAATACTATTACATAAACAAAAATACAATCAGCAATAGAAATGAAATTTAAATAATTAATATGAGTCTCTTTCGATTTTGTCCGAATGTAGGAAGGACTTGCGCTCCAAATTCTTTGCGACGAAAAATCCGGCCAGATCTATAGAAACCGAAACGACGGTTCATTGTGGGGCTATTGTGGGGATACCATCGTCGCTGACCGGCCCTTCATTGCGCAGCGGAGTCTGCAACGCGCAAATGGCGCCCTTCTCTAAGGGTAAACAACTGACAGCTGACCCACGCTCGTGCTGGGTGACCCATACTTACCGTTCATCTGCTGACACCACCCCCTGTCCCCCTCGGCGCGGAACGGCGTACACATTTCCATGTGAGTTTTTAACATCTCGCCTCCCAGAATCGGGATTACAGCCGACTTCGGTTCTTCTAATAAGGGCTTGTTATGCAGACGACCGGATTATCCGATGTTCAACATCTGTTTGATGAGGTAAGTATGATATGACAATTGTATTATTATATTATGCTTATTAAAAATCTCATATATATAAGCTAAAATGCAATTGTAAAATATGTGAATGCTTGTGCGTTCTTGCTAGTCTGCCAGAAAATTTGACAAAATTATAAACATATAATTTCTTAATCTTTTAATTATTAAAAATTTATAGGCTTTGCGTAATTTTATAATGACACATTAAATTTGTTGTTCGCTTTTCCAATTCTCAATTTTAAATGAGTTATTTCGCCTAGATAATATGTTAAAAATTAATTTTTTTCAAAACATTAAAAATTTTTCTAATATATTAAAAAAAGAATTTGATAGAAAAAAATCAATTCTAAAGAATAGATGCCACGACAATTTGATCCGTTCTGGCTAGATTCTGGTCAGCTTGTTTATAATAGGTTTCCCCTCTCTTTCTGTCTTATTTTCTTATTCTTTTCGCGTTTTCTAAGATGCTGAGCTGAAAGACTCTCAGTGGCCACACTGGACCCTTGTATTCACAATTCTGCACGTTTTCTTCAACCCCCTTGCCTTTTTCAGTTCTCAATTTTTCTTTCCTTTTTTCGATCCATCTTTTTAGCTTACCGATGAGATTTTTGTCTGTTTTTCCTTTTAGTCCAACTATGCGCTTTTGGCATGTGCGCATAACTCGCACATGATAAACACGCAAATAATTAATAGACTGTAAACAAATGTCTAAAATGTTTTGTAAAATGTTAAAAAAATTATAAGTATTAAAGATCGTATAACATATTTTTTTCGAGAAAGAATTAGTCGCTTTATTTACTGAGGATTTATTTTTGGAGAAACCGTATTTATTACTTTTTTATTGTTGCTGATGAATAATTAATTGCCAAAAAACATATGCCACAAAATCAACTGCGATAATAATTCAATTATCGTTCCTTCTGCTGCCTTTATGCCTCCAGTTATACCTTCTTAAAACTTATGTATAGGGCAAATTTTCTTAAAATACAAATACATTTAATTTTTTATATAAAAGTTAATACATAAAAATTTATTTTAATAGCGTCTAACTCCAGGGATTAATGTCGGCAGCGCAAAAACAATACAGTTCGAGTACATTCTCGTATTTCGCGATTAGGGCGCGTGGCTACGGTACGGAAGGGATCAGACAGAAATGTTACATCGCGCTCGTGCGCCATAGTACCGTTCCAAATTTCGTATTCTGCCGTGCTATGTAAGATCGGTTACAAGTGGACCGAGCGCTCGTAACCTGATAAATAAGAAGTCGGGGGTCACGCTACCACGAGAGGGGTCAGCTATTGAACAATGTGGGGTACGTGGCCTTTTCACCCCCGGGGTTAATATGCGGGGGCCTAAACATCGGCGGCTGGACAATGCCGGAGATTTATAGGTCGACACATACGCGATCATTGTCCTGCCAAATCTCAATGCACGTCGGCTAAGAGATTTTCGAAAAACGACCGGTCAGCCACAGCCGTTCCAAATTCGCGCGGCGATTGCAGACGAAACGGTGAGAAACGGGGGGAAAAATCGCATTTTCGACCCCAGAAATTTCGTGTGACCTCTTGCTGCGTCCTCTTCATCCCCCTTCACAATTCCAGCGGAACATGCTGGACGGCAATGACCATCGATCAATAAAAAGGATCCGCGGATCGTCGAGCTCTGTCGAACGATGTTATTTATACCATGTTGGAAAAGGACAGACGTCTTTTAGAAAAAGAAAGGAAAGAAAAAAGACGCTCTTATGCGGGAATCGACATTTCGCGGGCTGTAGAAAAGGACAACCATGTCGCATTTTGATGCTTCTAGTTGACAAAGGACAAACTTATATATTAGAGAAGGATGACGAACAGACGACAACGACCAAGACTTACATAGATTTCGGCATATTTCGACTTTGGCAAACTTTGGCAATTAATATATTTTTTTAGAGAGCATGTACAAAAAAAGTAAAGATACTTTTATTATGTAAATCGCATGTGCTCTATCGATTAAGCCTATTATAAATTCGATCGGTCCACGCATTATTGAGATATGAAAATCTCGACTCCTATCAGCTCATGTGCTCGCGTAAAGATACACGGTCGGTCTTGCGCTGCGCGTGAACTTGGCGCGAGACACTACCGTGTCTCTTGATGTATTTTCGAAATAAAATAAATAAATACACATTTACGATTAAAGAATGTATTAAAATGATTGTTTTATAATGTGTTTACATTTATACATTTAAGAAAATGGCAAGTCGCGATAGTTTTTTCCGTTTTCCGACGTTCGTCAGTGTTTCCGTAATCTTTTTACCTTCATGAAACATTTTTATCCTAATGTAACACAATGATATTGTTTTTGTTAGACTATGTATATGGTTTTCTTCTTCCGACATATCGAACATGTAATCGCTTAGTTCCGAAAACAAATTTTTCGTAGCTAGATTGGCGAATACT